CCTGCCCTGTCCTCACCCCTCCTCCCGGGTAGCAGTGTGTCAACTCCCTATTGGATAAGAGCTCCCCCGCCCCTGGTACCTTATAAAAACCCCTGCTTGCTGTAATAAACAGAGTTCCGGCTTTGACCGCTCTCCTGGCTCGGTGTTCTTTCTTTGTCCCCGGGGCCGAAGCGCAGAGGGGATTGGGCCTGTGACACTCATCATCCCACTCAGCCCCACAAGAGGTTACCGCCGGCTGGTCCGGGGTCCCTTCCTGCCCTGTGTTGTTGGTCCCCGGTGGCGAGGAACCAACATAAAGGAATCACATAAAATCTAAGTATATAGAGTAAAATATAAAGGTGCTGTATTTGGTCTTCCAAATTCTACAAACTTCCTTAAAGCTACACTTAAGAGTTTGAAAGGGAATATATTTCCAGCCATTTATCTGCACATTTACATACACATTTTTACTATTTTGGTTTGAACACAACAAGCCAATGATTAGGAGCTAAGATCTAAGGAAACCAAACAGATAGATTCTCCTTTCTATAACCCCAGTGTAATTTCATAGAAAATTATGAATAGAAGAACATACCTAGAATGAAAAGGCAAATTGTCTTTTCCTTCTTGTAATTCTAGACTTCCTATAATTCCAAATTATTACACAGTGATAGAACAGACAGTATTTTTATTCTTACTACAGACCATAGGGATTACATCCACTGTGTGGCCTAATTATATCTGTCTGAAGAGGAAAGCATTCAAAAAGAATGAAGTTTTAACGAGCAATTTGGTTTTCATTTTTTGAAATGAAATTTCCAGAGAGAATCTATTCTTTCAGTTACATCACTTTCCAGCCATTTATCTGCACATTTACATACATGTTTTTACTATTTTGGTTTGAACACAACAAGCCAATGATTAGGAGCTAAGATCTAAGGAAATCAAACAGATAGATTCTCCTTTTTATAACCCCAGTGTAATTTTACAGAAAATTATGAATAGAAGAACATACCTAGAACCAAAAGGCAAATTGTCTTTTCCTTCTTGTGCTTCTAGACTTCCTATAATTCCAACTTATTACACAGTGATAGAACAAACAGTATTTTTATTCTTACTACAGACCAAAGGGATTACATCCACTGTGTGGCATAATTATATCTGTCTCAAGAGGAATGCATTAAAAAACAATGAAGTTTTAATGTGCAACTTGGTTTTCATTTTTTGAAATGAAATTTCCAGAGAGAATCTATTGCTTTCAGTTACATCACTTACATTTTGATGTATAAAAATAAAATTTTCTAATTGGTATTCATCATGTGACTGAAATAATAATTGAAGTTTATGGATGTTTGGCATAGTAATCTTTCTTAAGCTCCTCAAATGGACAGTGACCACTCACCGTCTTTGTAATAGCGGTAGGTGCAGTGCAGGACACTTCGGCTTTTTAAACCTCACAGATAACATGCGCTTTATTCATTATTTATGATTCAGTTGTTACCAGCATAAAAAAGTAAGCATGGTTAGAAAAATTCCAAATTTCTAGTGGAATTAATTAAAATAATTTATTTAAAATATATAATAATGTTTTTTTTTCTTATACTATCCTTAACAGATGAAAAGCTTGTTCATTATGAATGATCCCCATTTCGTCAGTCTGAATATGTTCTTTTTGCTGCGAGGTTGTCAGGTCCACCGCCGGCCAACCCAAACAGCCCTAGCCTCATTCCTTTTGGTGGGCGAGTAAATGGCCCTGATTCCTCTTTCCCTCCTGTCCCCTTTGGAAGGAGATGGGGGAAGAGAGCCATGAACAGAGGTGAGCACACCACGGGCCCCCACCAGCCCAGTTAAAGGACACACAGATGCGGCGGGGGTTCTGTCAAGCAGTTCCATTTATTATCACACAAGCACTTGCTTTTAAAGGCAAATAGGGAAGGGAGTTTTTTACATAATCTTATCAGCTTAAAGGTCAAGGACATGCATCCTGTCTCAATGCCTAGCTATTGAAACCACACAGTGTTCACGAGTGCAGAAGCGCATATTTGGCCAATAAGGGTTAAGGCAAGGTTCCCGCAGACACCCCCACCCTACTTCCTCCCGGTGCCGTCTTAGGCTGCCACATTAATATGCCCTTGTGGGCCCATAATGGTGCCACTTGTAATGTCACTTAGGGTGGTGTTAGTTTTTATGGCCGGACAATTCCCCCTTTTGTTTTAATAAGGCAGCTGGAGGCAGCTAACCTTCCCAGCTTTGTCTCCATTCCCTCTGGTGAGTTTGTTTCCCTCTGGAAATCTTACCCATCATTGACTATCCAGCCAAGTGGGGGTGGGGTGGAACCTTAGAGATTGGCATTGATTTCTTTCTTTTTTTTTTTTCCTTTTTTTTTTTTTGTCTTTTTTCGTGTCTGGCAACAGATCGCAACCCTCAGTGTCGCGCCCGTACTGGACCAGGACC